TCTGCATGTGTTTACCATGCCCTCCCCACAGATATATTAATGGGAGTTATGCCTGTGGGCATATGCTCCAAAAAGCTCAACCAGGTCCATGTTCTCTGGCTAATGGACCAAATCATGGATTCAATATATTTCGCTCCGTTCAGAGCCTAGATTCACTGGGCTAAATTCATCCCTAGTGTAACTCCACTGAAGTCCCTCAACTGCTCTAGGGATGAACTTTTGTGTGTATCTTGCAGTTGCTGCAGCCAAGTGTTAAACCCAGCACCTCCTGCAATTCAGAAGGCTCCCAGAGGGATAGCTTCTAGCTGAGCTGATAAAATGGAGCCATACAAGCTTAGGGATGGAAACCACCCAGTTGCTTGACTCAAAGCCTGCAAAGACTAATGCCTGTGCATAACTTCACTCATGCAAAGTAGCTGTATTGAAGTCAATGGGGCTACTCAGGTAAGTTAAGGTAAGCACATGCATCAGTCTTTGCAGGCCAGGATCAAGGCTCTAGTCTGTTCCACAGCTGATGTGTGATTGCCCCATCTAGGGGGGATTCCACCACCTCCACTGAGTGACTGCTCCCCTGCCGAATGGGTGTCACCATTGAGTAATCTCTCTTCTCGCTATTCACCCGACAGCTTCCTTTGCGTGATATATCCCCTTGCTTCCCCATTCACCAAGCCTGTTAGAACTGAGTTACTCATCAGGAAGTTCTTTGCGTATCCTGAATCAGATTTCAATTCTCACTAGATGGAGTGGGGAGACATCACTGCCCCCTGCTGTCCAGGTCAATATTGGGACTTCAATGTCCGCAATATGTGTTGCCAAATGAGAGAGAATCTTAACTGCAGATTTAAGAGAGAAGAAATCCTGTAATCTATGTATCTCTACTTATTAATTCTGTCCAGACTGGGTAGACTAGCCTCATGCAACAGTGAGACTGGGAATTGGAGAAGAACCGAAGGGAGTTAAGTACTCCATTCCCATTGAAATCACACATCCCTTAGGCTCCTCTGAAAACCCCAGCCCAAGCAAACTTACTCCGAAGAATAGTACTATTGACCTCAGTGCCTCCAGATAAGCTCCATTAATTCAGTGCGGATTTTTGAATCCGTAAGGACCATTGATGTGAATAAGAGTTTTAGGCTTGAGTCCTTTGCCTCTAAACAAAGTAAGCTGTTAATCAGCCATAAAAAAATGTGGGTTGTTTAGTATTTTGTGCCCAAAACTTTAAGTGCAAAAAACCCACAATACTTAAACTACACCAAAAAGTTGTACAAATCTATTACTAAAAATGCTTTTATTTTTCTAATAGTCATTTTGTTTTAGATTTAAACTTAACACAACACAATGCTGCAGGGGACTTGTTAGCATGGGAAAACCCTGAAGGAGAAATAGATAAGATGTGAATGAAACTGACAAGTCAATATTTTTATTGCCTGAACTAAGGGGATTGCAGGGTGCTGGGGAAAGCATACGTTGTGGGCAAGTAAGTTGGATTTTAAACATTATTTTGTTTTCAGTAATCTAAGGATTTTTGTCATGAGAGAGAGAATTTTTTTTTTTTTTTAAACCTGACCGTGTCCTTCTTTTAAAACACAGTTGGTATTTGCTTTTTGTCTATTTTTCCTTCAGGTTCTCCCACATAACACAGTGCTGCAAGGAAATGTTTAACTAAAACAAAATGAGCGTTCAAAAAAATCATTTTTGTAATGGATTAGTCTCTGAGTAGCCATAGTACGTGGTCACCTCACCGTCTTTAATGGTTTTTATCCCCACGAGACATATGAGATAGGGAAGTGCTGTTAGCCTCGTTTTATATATAGGGAACTGAGGCCCAGTCAGGCAATGCCTTCTGCCTTTTTAAAAGATGAATGGTAGCCCAGTAGACAGCTCTTCAAAAAGTTGGCTTTTAATGATCTGGTGAAAGCCATGTCTATTGGTCAGAGCAGGTTCTTGGCAACAGGACTCTTCCTGGGTTCCGTTTCCAAGTTCTATTACGGAGTCACTGAGGCGCTAATCCTGCAACATACCAAGCGTTGCCAAGGAGATGGTGAGCAACCTGGGCCTTGAAGGATTGAGTTTTTAACCACTCTGTGCCTCTTTTTAGCCATAGGTAAAATGGGAGGAAACTACTTTTTTCTTCAAGTGCTGATCCCTGTGTGTATTCCACTGTGAGTGCGTATGTGCTGCATGTACCTGAGACCACAGATTTCTAACTAGTAGTGTCCATTGGTCCGCGCCTGCGCAGTTCCTCCCCTCATGCTCTGTACCGAGTGCATAAGCGGAGGTGCGGATCAATGCCTCTCCACTTCCTTCTGACCAGCACGGGGCCTGAGCCAGAATCTTCTGTGTCTGTAGCAATCTTCAGAATCGGCAAATATATCTGTATATAGTTTTACCATTCTTAGTGTTTGAGTAGTTTCAGTGTTTCTATAGTCTAGTTCGTTTGAGTCTTCCCCCACTTTGGGGAGCTTCTCCCCAAGGAGAAGGACTATGCCCAGAATCCTGGAGTTAAATGACTGTTTGTTTGTCCTACCCATGCTCCTTTTCCATCTGTAACTAATGCCAGCACTGCCTTGAGAAGGTGCCCAGCACTGCCAAATGCAGCATTTGTTACTCCTTCTCTCCCTGAACCTATAAGGGACAAGAGTTTTGCCTGTGGAAACACTTCCTGGAAAATGCCCTGAGACACTAGTCAGATCCAGGCTGGGGAGACCCCGCTGTATGATGGCCTCTGAGCACACACTCCGAAGCAGAGCCCGAAACCGCTAAGCCTAAGGAGTGCCTCAGGCCTCTTGCAAGAGTAAGGGACATTGTCATGGCCATAAGGAAGAAACTGGGAAGAAACTACTCCAGTGAGAGAGCGTCCTGCTTGTACAAGACTTTCTGATCTCCAAAAAAGTGTTCTATAATTGCTACCTACTATTAATAAGATTTTTGTACTTCAGCTGTTCCTATTACTGGACCCATCAATGTCAGAAAAACACCTGAGAAGGGGTGTAAATTATATCTAGAACATATGGGGTACCTGGTATATCATCTCTCCCAGTTTACATAGCACTGAACACTTATACTCTAAAGGAGTCTGCTAGAAATTAAACTGGGGCTCTTGCCAGTCACTTACATGACCCTTAACTATTCACACAATCTAAGGCTACGTCTACACTACCCGCCTGAATTGGCGGGTAGAAATCGATCTGTCGGGGATCGAATTATCGCGTCTCGTCAGGACGCGACAATCGATCCACGAATCGACGCTTGTACTCCACCAGCGCAGGTAGAAGTAAGCGCCGTCGATGGGGGAGCCGCGGCGGTCGATTTGCCGCCGTCCTCACAGCAGGGTAAGTTGGCTCGGATACGTCGAATTCAGCTACGCTATTTGCGTAGCTGAATTTGC